TCCCAGTAGGTGCTCTCTGCTGCCTCCATGAGCGCCCCAGTGGGCTGAGCCCTAGTTTCTGAGTGCTGTAACGCCTGATAACCCACCTTTGATTGGCGTGAACCCAGGAGAAGTAAACTTCAAACTCCAGGCCATGCAGCGAGGCTGGTTTACATCAGCTTCCTTTTCAGCAGCTACAGCCCTCCTACAGAGAAGGAGACACACGACAGGCATGTCTCACAGCAAAGGAGGCTCCTCAGGACAACAAGGACAGGGTGCTATGCTACAGTGCAGGCCTCAGGCTATCAAAGGGCAACCTGGGAGCCCAACAGGCCTAGGATGTCAGTCAAGGGTTGGCAAACTCTTTCTATAAGAGATAGTAAATATTTTAAGATTTGTGGGCTTCTGTCGCAACTAAAGTCGGTTGTTGTAGTGCAAAAGCAGACATAGGCAATCCGTAAACAAATGACTATGTTCCAATAAAACTTTATTTACAAAAACAGGTGGTGGGCCAGATTTGGCCTGTGGGCCTTATTTTGTGACTCTTTCCATCAAAGACGATGGACACAAAAGGAGAAGTAAGAAATGAGAGAATGCCCACACTATATTGGGCAATATGCTTGCCAGCTTGTATCTATTCCTTCATTTTATCCTCAGAGCAACCAAGTAGTTATAGTCTTACCATCTGCGTTTTAAAGACAAGGAAAGTATGGTTTCCAGAAAACAGGAATATTGCCAAAGCCAAATAGTCTCAAGGGTTCAGTCTCAGTGGTCTCAGAAGCTTCTCTGAGAATGCTAAAACAGTGGCCATGGTTACCACTGGGTTCTTACCAACTGGCCTGGTAAGACCAGCCCTGGTGTTGACATGTGCCATTTGTCAGCCTGTGCTTTTGATAGCCTCACAAATGCAGCACCTCAGACGTAACATGTCCAAAGATTTCGTGAACATAAGTCCCTTGTCATTTCTTAGCTTAATGTGCAGGCAGGCCGTCTGACGGACAAGTGCCGGTGCAAACAGCAGCCAAACCTATAACTATTAAACTTCCTTGCTGAACGCTAATCTAATCTTCTGTCTGACTGTGCACTCAAATATTCAGAAATTAAGCCTTAAAATTATCAAATACCAGAGGTGTCCTTCCCCCCACATTCAACTTTTATAAGAGAAAATGAGCCATCATCAGAAGTTTCTTCCAGAAATAACTTCCAGGGAAGCCCGAGGTCACTTTGGATTCAGCCCAGTCTCCCTTTCTGTGTGATGGTACAATGATAATTCAAGTTCTTAATGATGACTCTGAGTCATCCTGATCCTGAATCATCAATGATTAAATTCTGTTCACTAAACAGTTAGTATTTTTTAAAGCAAGAACATAGACTAATGCATTTTAGGAAGAAGTTAGGGAAAAGTTCAAACCAAAACAACCATCTGGCTTAGCCCAGAATGACCAGAGCATTAAATTTACAGAGACATCACTTCTCCCAAATGTTCGTGCAAGTCAAGGCCAGTTTAATTTATTCCTGTACACAAATAATTTTACAGAAGACAACATAATAATTCAAATCAATAAATGATTAGGTTCTGGCTATAAAAGTATAAACAGAACCCTTGCAAAAAATTGTTCATTGTTCTTCCTTGCTATCAACCATTTGAGTTTTAGCCAGAAAATGTACAGCCAAGCAAGAACAACTGTTTGCCTTCTTTAATACTCGGTATAGACTGTTACTCAAGGAATTAAGCATTAGTCATCAAATTAATTGTAAGGACAACAAAATAATTAGACTTCCTAAGTCATCATCCATTCAACGTTCAGAGGTGAATTTGACCCCAGGCAACACATGGCCTTTCTTCTTGTTATAAAAGTGGTCTCATAGTTTGTGGATTCTGGGCAAAGGCTCTGCTCTCAGAACTCTCCGATTCCTCGCTCTGGCGCCCACCCACCTCAGGGCAAGCCATTTTCTCCAGAGTCAGAAATTGGAGGCAAAAAGCCTCAGCTCAGACCACAGGTGATAATCATGAGCCAGAAAGGTAAGCCAGGGTGGAAAGTTTATGAAACCAGTCGATCACTGAGGCAGAAACACGAAGGTGCCGAAACTTCTGATTTTATTTTTCTTTAATTGAATTCAACATCTACCTGCCAGCCTGATTGCACTAATGGTGAAAACTTGACCTTGGTCAACTCAGATTTTGCCCCTACCTCCCTGTCTCCAGAATTTCCCTCAAGCTTCAAAGGACTAACACAGCATTAAGGAGAGGGGAACGGGGTCCTGGAGCTTGTTTCTCATCATCTGTCCTCCTTGGACCTACTGCCGCATCCCCACTCCCACTGTCCCGGGTCATCACTTCATGCAGATCCTGCCTGAACCCTGGATCCTCATTGTCCTGACCTCTGAACTTTTTAGGCCAGCTGGTTCTCCCTGTCATGTTCTCACTAATCTCAGCCTCCCACAAAATATTCTGCTGCTCTCTGCTCTGCGCTGAGGGTCATGGGAAGGCAGAGTGGGGTCACCCAAGCCTCTCAGCCAAGATGCCTCGCAGAGCCGCTTCCGATCTGCAGCTCCTTGCCCCTGTCACAGGATGAGTCTCAGACCTCTTTGAGGTTGGACATTCCAACATACCCCCATCCCACTCTCAGAACACAGCTCAGAAGAAAGAGGTAGCACTCAGGGCCCCCTCTGAAGGCCCCACAATGGCTAATCGCTGAATTTTCCATCCAACTTGCCTCAGAACAGGGAATTTTAGTCTATTCCAGGGAGAAACAAACCAGGCTTAGCAAACAGTCTTCTGAATCTATTGCTTAAGTTTCAACCTCAGCTTTGAAACCCAAAACAAAAAGTATTAACCTGTGTTTCTCTGGGTATTCCTACCTCACCAACTCCATCTAAAAATGCTCTTGTCTGAAAAATTCAGGGAAGGCTAGGGATAACAGAACATACTTAGGAAAGACAAATAAGTTACTGTTTCAAAACAGTATCCCTCAAAAGAACTGAGATCCAAATATCTCAAGAAAAATCAAGAAAAATAATGCCAAAACTGAGAGGGTCTCCCAGAGAAAAGGATGACAGACCAGATAGAGAATTCAACTTTAAAGGTGAATGAAAGAAGCTTGGGATCTAAGTGGAGAAGGAGGGGCAGAACTGGGGACGTGCCAATAATTATGGCTGGTGGAGACAGGAAGAGGTCCTCTCTGCAGGCCAGGGGTTGAAGGAAGACCCTGATTCTGGAAGAAAGAATAGATGTAGTCAAGACTCAAAATACAGGGACTGGTCCAAATTTTGAATAGACTAGTAGGGGTTGTGAGAAATGAGGGATTGTTTTTCAATGGGTATAAATGTTTTATTATTGCAAATGAATAAATTCTGGAACACTGCTGTGCGACACCATCAATAATCTGGTATTGTGCACTTTAAAATATGTTAAGAGGATAGATCTTATGTTAAATGTTCTTACAGAAAAAACAAACCCACCCAGATACAAAAGAATACAAGGGGATTTGGATGGATATGTTTGGTACCTTGGTTGTGGTGATGGTATCATGTGTATGCATATGTCCGAAGTCATCAAGATGAGTACATTAAATGTGTGGAGTGTTTTGAATATCTATTATACCTTAAGAAAACTAAAGAAATTTAAATTTAAAAATTTTTAAAAACAAATTTCAGGGTGACTTCTGTCCCAAGCAAAACATCTAAATAGGATTGCAGTTGTTATAATCACAACTACTGGTGACTGGTAGCTCTTTGTCATCCAGCCAATGGAAACACAAACTAATGGAACTGGTCAATTTTCTCTTAAAAACATTGTGTCACTAATACACTAAGTTTGCAAATTAAATTGTGTCACAAACTAAAATGTTTTACCCCATAAAGGAGCCATATTCCTGATAATGTCTCAGGATACCTGGAATTGAGAAATGCCCAAGCTGGAATATGCATCCACCCAGGGTTTCCAAGCCCAATGTATAGTGTGGCCCAGAAAACCATCTGGGGTCTCTACTACAGACTCAGAAACAACAGAGAGAAGAATGGGGTGCGGAGAAGGGAGCTTCTCAGAGCCCAGCCCCCCAAGGCAAGCAGAGAAGGCAGTGGGGAAGAATGGATTAGTCACCAAATGGTGGTGGATCATCTCTCATCATTGACCAAAATAAAAGGCCAACCAACTAAAGACCTAAGTGGAAAAAATTAAAACATGAAATCACATAAAGACAAGTCAAGTGAATAAATAATTGATTTCTGTGGAAAGACTCTCAATGAAAAAAAAAAGGAGGTGTTGGATTGCATAGAATTTAAACTTCTAACCATAGCCTATAGGGTTTAAGACTTCACCCAGTTTGCAATTGTACATTTATTTGTTTGATCATTTAATTGATGTCTGTCCCCCAACTAGGCCATAAGTTACACAAGGGCAGGGATGTCACCATTGTGTCCCCATACTTGGAAAAGTCTCTGCATCTATTAGACTCTTAATGATATTTGCTGAGTGGGTGAATGAGATTGATATTGTGGACAGCGTTAGGGGCTTGGGCAGGGGTCTAACACCCCTATGTGTAAAGGAGGCAAGCCTACGTCAGTCTGAAGCAGCAAGCTGGAAGTGAGCCTTCTGCATAAAGCAAGAAAATTCTAGCGGCCACCTCACTTGTGCCACGAGAACTAGAACATTCTGGCCATCAGCCCAAGGAAATTTAACATAAGCCTTGGATTCCAGGTGAACCCCAGTTACCCACAACGGGTAACGCAACCTCAAATGAAGACAGTCCTGGAGAGCACAGGACTCAACTTTGCTAGCCCCTTAAAGGCCTGAAATAGGATAGGATAAGGAAGCCTGGAAAAGGGATAAAGGGGGACAGGAAGATCCAAGGACACACCTCAGCTCTGCCACCATTTTGCCAGGGCGGGTGCAGAGCAGAACATTGACACCGCGCCCAGGGAGGGACTATCAACATGTGACTAACGCAGGGTCTCGCAGCGCTTTCTCTAGCCTGTGCCCCTGGCCTTACTGACCTGGTGTGACACCTTGTGTCTTTCAGAATGCCGAAGCGAGTTATGACTTCAGCAGCAACGATCCCTATCCGTACCCCCGGTATACAGACGACTGGTTTAACAGGTAAACAGCCTCGCCAGGGGTCTTTGACTTTAGCTTTGGGGGTTTCTGTTGCTCCGTTTTGTTTTTAAGGTTTGACCATTGCCAACAAAATAATCTCAATGCTTCACTAAATTATATTGTGATTTTTCTTCTTCATGACTACATTCTCTAAATTCTTGGATCTTTTTCGTATTGCAATGTTCCTCTAGAATTCTCTTTTGACTATTTCATGGTGTTGAACTAGGAATTATTGGCCACTTTCATCTATTAAAGGTAAAAGGAAACAGAAATAGTAAGAAATATCTCCTCAGGCCCCAGGCGGGGCTTTAACACAGGCTGACTTCACTCGAGCTGTTCAAACTATTGCTGAGGAACTTCTGCCCCACGGCTCTGGGTCCAGATGTTGTTGGAAAGCGTTTCTGCTGTAACCTTGTCACACCTCGCATAGTCCCTTTCAACAGAGCAGTAATTGGCAGAGGTTTGAAGTATTGCTTACCGTGCAAAACTACCCAGAGGTCCATCCAAAGGGGTGACTTCTCTTCAGCCTATCTTGCAACTAAACATATAAATGCAGTCTATTTTTTCCCCAAGTAAAATTCTTGCCTAAATGGTTGATTGCATTTAAGACATATCAAGAAATAAAGATGTATCATTTACTTAATCAAAGAATATCATACTTTTTAAATCTAGTGCTTTCCTGTTATTGTTGTTCTTGGGTGAACTTCATTAGAACATACAAACTTCAGCTAATAGTATAAAATTATAGTACCTGGGGGCCGGCCCCGGGGCCTAGTGGTTAAGTTCGGTGGGATGCGTTTCAGCATCCCAGGTTCGGTTCCCAGGCGTGGATCTACACCATGATGTAGCAGTGACCCACGTACAAAATAGAGGAAGATTGGCACAGATGTTAGCTCAGGATGAATCTTCCTCAGGAAAGAAAAAATTACAGTAGGTATACAGCACTTTATTCATTTCTTTTACTTCTCATGGCAAACTCACGGTAGACAAAATGAATGTTGTCATACTTAGTTTAGTGATAAGGAAACAGGCTCAGAAGGTTGAGTGACTTCCCTGCTCAAACAATTAGTATACTCAAAGCCAACACTTGAACTCGAGTTTCATAAATGTTTCTAAATCCAAATTGTACGATTCTCTTAGAAGCATCATTTTTATTATAAAAAACAAGAAGCATCGTGGCCAGAGAGTGGCCAGGGACAGGTTCCCAGTGGCCTGAGGAGCATAAACTCTGTCCCTCCAGTTAGCAAGTTGACCTAAGAATGTGTAGGGTACAGACAGGGCGTGTGGATTGGGGGGCTTGACCATTACAGAAAATGACAAAGAAGGAAATACAATTCAAATTTGCAACATTTTAAAAAGATCATCGCCGATGTCCAATAGCACAATTCACTCTCTATCGACTGCCTCTTCAGCTTTAAAATTATCATACAGTGTTTGGAAGTGTGTGTTTAGGGGTTGAGGCTGTATAAAAAAAGTCTGAGAAATTTGACATGAAGTGTCTCTTACCTCCCTGACTGGCAACCCTGGATCCTAGCATGCCCTTGGTGAATAAATCATTTTCAGAGACAGGGACGTGAAGTTACCAAACAGTTGTCACTAAGTTAGGAGAGAGACATAACTGGTAACGGCAGTCTGGAACAGTGTGTTGAGAAGGCCCATGAGGGAGTGCCCGGCTTCAACCTGATTGATGACTAATCGTCTATATGATATCAGAAAGGGCAGTAGCAACATGTATGCCAGCTGCTTGCCATCTCTCTGCAGCTAGATGGTACTAAACTCATCTTTGATGTGTTGATCCAAGCATAATAATTTACTGACAGAATGGCTTCCCTACCCATCCCATTTTCTGAACCCAAACACAGCCTCCCCCTACCTGTGTGATATGCTGTAAGAATATTCTTTTTTTAAAAAGGAGGAAACGTCTTCTATCTTAAATATTTTCATTTGCAAATTTGTTCTTGAAAGTTTAATTTTAAACTGGCTAAAATCCTCTTACTAGGACTAATTAGTGCTTAGTGCCATAAAATTCTTCATTGTCAGTGGTAAAAATTCCCAAGTGTCCAACTGCCCAAGACACAGTCACAGTGAGTCAGGCAAGCATGATCCTTGCCTCTTGGGGAGCCAATGACTCAAGGTACAGTGTCTACTTTGACCAAAAATTGGGGCTTTTTTCAATTATCAAGTCATTTTCAAAGATGCTCATCCACCATGGCTTGTTAGATTGGATGGTGCCATAGTTGAAATCATGGCCTCTCAAAACATAAGTACCATTGTAAATGATTATGGGAGGAAGGTAAGTCAGAGTTCAAGGCCACAGCACTGGGGGGATCCATGGTCCGAAAGATTAGGTGTGTCCTGGAGATGATTCCTGCTTGGCACAAGGAGAATTTAAACAGAGCATCCTTCCCATGAGTGTAGGATACATTTTTTTAAAAATGCCCCTGGGATGAAATACGCGTGGTATTTTCTTCAGTACAACTTAGGGTTTGGAGCAGGAGGGAGGGGAATGACTAGGGCTCGAGAGGAAGTAAAATTGGCACAAGTTAATCATTGCTAAAGCCAGGCAATGAGTACATGAGATTTCACTCTACTTTTATATGTCTTTGATGTTTTTCACAATAAGAAGTAAATTTAAAGAGCATAGGGCATAAAAAGAGGCAATAAACAGAACTGGGACTTTAGTTCAGTACCCGTGAAACTATCAGTCTTGGTGTGCAAGCTTCTGAAGAGCTTGCAATGTCCTAGGAGGAGGTGGCAGATGCCCGAATCACTACCGTGCTGAGCGTAGCCAAGGCTAAAATAACACAAGGAAAGTTAACGCCTATTAAGCAGTTACTATGTTTCAAGCACTGGTTTAAGTGGTTTGCATGTGATAATTTAATTAATTCTCATAATAACCCTCTGAAATAGGTATTGTCTTTATTATCCCCATTTTGGAAACTGAGTCATGGACAGGTTAAGTAACTTGTGCAAGGTGACACAGCTAATAAGTGGTGGAGACAGGATTTGACACCAGTGAGGGGGCCATTACATGCACTGCCTCATGATAAAGATGCTTTGGAGAGCACGGAAAAATTATCCCTGGCTGGGGAAGCTGGGGTATCTCCTTGAAGAGGTGGCACTGGTCTAGGATTTAAATGAAAGCAATAGGTAGAGTTGTGGGGGCAAGTGTGTTCTGGGGTAAGGGTACCATTTAGTGAAGAAGGGGAGGTAGGAGGTGCAGACACGTTCACAAGGCGGTCTGGAGAACCGGTCTGGGAGTTAGAGACCGCTGCATGGGTCTAAGAAGGTTTCACAGAAGAGATGGGCATGACAGGTTTGGAGAGGCTGCTAGGAGAAAGGAGAAAGAGAGACTTTGCGGTCGGATAGGAAACTGGGCCAGGGGCACAGACAAGGACCATTCTCCCACTGCACTCAAGGAATGTGCTACCCAGAGGCTCCGGGAACATTAAGCCCAGCACTGGCCGAGGTTTTCTGCCAATCCAGCATGAGCCTCTGGCTGGCTGTGCAGCCACCGAGGCATGCCACCTTCAGGTGTTCTCTTTGGGCATGGGCACCAAATCCAATGCCCCATCTCTGTTCAGTAGAATTGGGGCTCTTGAGATATGCTCATTTCAACACACACCAAAACACCAAAACTCCAGTATAGGGCCGACTGAGCAATGGGCTTGCTGCAATTGCCATTCCAGCCACACTGCCTGCCACAAAAGCCAGTTAGAACTCAAATGCAAGTGCTGCACAGGAACAGGGAGTGGCTCCCCATCACAGGGTTCTCACTGCTGCAGAACGTAGAAAATAAAATGCTCTACAACGGGCACTCCAGAGCAAGCAGGGAAAACATTCCCCTTGGCTGGGAAATTGGGTTCAATAGCAGCGTGTCTCCTGGGCTTTCCTGACACTAAACCATCTTACTGTACCGTCCATACTTATTTGTTAACTTGTTTCCCCTCAAGCGTACATTTCTTTAAGAATACATTTAAAACTCAAAGCCAAAACTCATTACGAAAGATAGCTTCATACATATGCAGAGATTCTTTTGAGGGATATGGATAATATTAGAATTTCTTGCCCTGTGCTTAATTTGATTCTGTAGGATTATTCCTTTTTAAGCAGAGCAAGTGTATATATTCTACTGTGAACCATTTTATAATCACACGCAGTATCTGAGCTCCAGGGGTATATTTGAAACACAGTTGAGAAATTTGGAAAAGGAAATTTCTTATCATCAGAGATCTACAGACGGCCTAGCTTACAATTAGAGAAATACAGATGGCCAAGCAAAATAATAATAGTAAGACGAAGAGTAGTAATAACCCAAATTGCAAAAAGGTAGAAAATAATACTCATTTAATGGCGTCGATAATGTGCAAAACAGATATAACTGATTTTCTGTGAGGTATCAGGATCTAGCATTACATTTTTTTGCTTATTGCCATTCAATTTTTTTCCTTTATCTTTTTCTTCTTTCTTTTCTTTCATCATATCTATATGAGAAGATGGATGCTAGCCAAACCTATTGTGGTAATCATTTTGCAATATATGTGAGTCAAACCATCATGCCAGACCCCTTAGACCTACACAGTGATGTATGTCAATTATTCCTCAATAAAACTGGAAAGAATATATTGATTGGTGGTTGATGCATGAGCAGCACACCTTCGCAGCCATGCCAAGATGTCGAGTGGCCCTGACATCTGTCCATTTTAGAGCTGCCTGCTTCTCCTGAGGTTTGCAGCCCACGCCTTGTCAATAATCTTCCAGCCTTGCTCGGTTTTAGGTCAGTGTTTGGTGAGGCATTGCAGATCTGTATTCCATTACTGTGCTGCTGTCCAGAAAAATCTCTCTTGCATAGCATTTCTTTGACAGGCATTCACCACTGAAATGTCATCCCTGCCATCGGCAATATTTATGAAGCCTCACAGGGTGCAGCTCACTCCATCTATTAAGCCCTGAAGTGTAAGAGATTCTGGAGAAGATGTAATTCCTGGCCGCAAAAAGTTTAC